CCAAAAACACAATTTGGCTTTGTGAAGAATTTTTCTGACGAAGAATATAGAAAATTAATTTTTTAAATGAATACCAAACCTCTGCTGCACGATTCATCCATTTTTTATCTGAGCATCGATCTCACTCTCTCCAGGCGACCACTCTGTTTATCCGTCACGTTGGCCGTTGTGACTGCGTGGGACACCAGCTAGCTTCTGAGCAGAAGGTGCCAGAAATGACATGAGGCCCCAGAGTTTTAAAAAAAAAATTTTTTTTTAAATATTCAATCCTGAGTCTTTGCAATAATAACAACGTGTTTCTGAAAATGTCTGAATCAGGCCATTGTACCCAACTAATAAGCAAGTGAACAGGAATCCATTTCAAGTCTCCTGTACGGATTCAGTGAGGATTATTGCTCGCTCTTAAAAAGAAGGTTGGATTTTTTTTTTTTTTATTGAAGTGACCACATCACAAAATTTGTGTTTTCTCTTCTCATCCCTTAACAAATATTTGTTGAATCCTCACCTCCTGCCAGGCTGGGGGACAACCACCGCCCCCACCCCCACCCCATCCCCTCCATCAGTAAATCCTGCTGATTTCACCTCTGAAGCAAGCCACCCCCTGCTGGCTGTGCCTCTGCCACCTCCAGGTCCAGTCTGAGCTTCCCTGGCCTCTCGTCCACACCTGCCCCAGCCTCCCCGCATCCTCTCCCACCTGCTGCGGTCACGGTCCACCAGCAGCCAGAAGGGGCTCTCAAACCCCATGTCAGACCTTGTCCCACCCCTGCCTAGGGCCCCCAGTGGCCTCTTTAATGCTCAGAATAAAATCCACCTCCTGGCCCTGGCCCTGCAGCTCAGCAGACCTGAGCCTCTCTCCCTGGCCTCCGCCCCAGGCTCGCTGGCCTCCCCTGCATGCCAGGCCACTCACGGCTGGGTCCTTCTCAGCTCCGGACCCTCTCAGAGGGGCCTTCCCCGGCCACCTTATGTCAACGAACCTCCTACATTGTCATTATCACTTTGCCCTGTTCATTGATCTGATTGATGGATTCGATCACCTGAAATGATCTTTTGTCTATTACTGTTTACCACCTGTCTCTGCATTTGTCCTCGAGCCCATGACGGCAGGGACACTTCTGTGCCATCACCACTGAATCTCAAACACCAAGCCAGTGAACAGGGTAGGCCCCCAAGACATGTGTTGGCTGGGATGAGTGTAGACTCCTCCCCTGTCCTCCAGCAGTCACAGCTTGGCAGAGGTGGACACTCTACTAACCCATGCTGGGGCATACGGACCCGCAGGGGCAGCTTTCCTGGACCGTGTCTGGATGGCCGAGCATCAGCCCCAGGAGGGGCTGAGTTAACTCATGGTCCACACATGACCTCATTTGATTGATGCAGACACTCAGCGGCCGAGAAGGGAGGCCCCCGGCTGCTGAAGGGCAGAGCCAGATGTGGCTCCAGGCCCCGGACTTCAGATGCCCATGCCGGCACTGGTGAGGAGGCTGCGCGTCCTGCCGCGCGTCCTGCCACGCGTCAGCGTGAGGCCGGTTAGACCACACCTGCCCGCCCAGCCCGAAGCAGCTGACACCCCTGGCTATTCCGGCCATTCCTAGAAAAACTCCTGTCCCACCTCCACCCACACCACCATGCCCACAGGGGCAGGAGAGTGGAATGGCCCTGCCGCCAGGTGACACCTGGGGGGACCCTCGCCTAGGGTGTGGCCCAGAACAGTCCCTCAGGGGTGGGACCACATAGGGACCATCTCTAGGGCCTGACCCCTAAAACGTGGGATGCCACTGAGGAGCACCGAGCAGTTGTCAGAAGGGGCAGCCGTGTGGCAAGAACTCACGGAGCAACGTCAGGAAAGGGAGAGAGAGTGAGGTCGTGCACAAGCCACGAACAGCAGCCACGCGCACGGGCAAGACTCTCCGTGAGAAGAAGGTGCACGCGTGTGGGGAGGAGGAAGGACGGCGGTAACAGTAACAATAAAGGGATGGGACAAAAGCAGGGACTCACACAGCTGCTGGGGATAGACAGCCATGGACTGTGGGGACCCTCCCCGACCACACCCGAGGTTGGCCTCCCCCAGAAGAGGAGAGGAAGTGAGGGAGCAGCCTCAAGGGGACAGTCGAACTTTGGGGCCGAAGGGGGCGGTCGACCTCCAGCTGCTCCTGGAAGAAATATTTTCCCCACGAACAACGGCCCTGTCTGGGCCCGGGACCAGCCTCCCGCTCCAGCGAGGGGAGGCGAGGCCCCAGCTGCCCCTTGCGGGACCCCCCTCAGCTCCACCTGCACCCGAATACGGAAGGCTCCGTTCCAGCGGGCACCCTGGCACCGACCTGCAAAGAGGCAAAAGGGCCGTGTAGCCCATGCCTAGCGACGTCCCCGCGGCCCCCAGCCCTCGGCACTGCAGCAAGAGAGGCGGGAACCAAGGCAACCGCCCTGCAACGAATCCTCCATTCCCGTCTCTCTCCCTTTCTCCCTCACGGATTTTAATTAAGGGTTTACTTGCAAAAGACCTAGCTCTATTTGACTAAATCCTTGGACCCCTTTTATACTGTCTTATGTATCGTTTTATGCCAGGGCGCCAGGAAAAAGTTAATTATAACTTCTGAATATTCCATTACCGGCCCTTGTCTTCCTTCCCTGCCCGATTCTGCTGAGGGCAGCAGGTGCCACTCGACGGCTGCTCATCCCATGCTCCTCGGCCCCCACTCCACGCTTTATTCAACAAACACCCGCCGAGTGCCCCCCGGTGCCAGGCTGGGCTGGGCTCTGAGGACCCGCACTGGCCGTGGCATGGTCTCGGCCCCCGAGGGACTCAGGGGATCCTGCAGGAGAAGGGGAGCCCAGCAGGCTGGTCCACTCGGGTGCCCACAGCAGCCCGGCAGGTGGGGTGGGCAGGATGTCAGCCTCAGAGGGAAGGGAGGGGGGCAAATGCCCCGCTGGAGTGCTACATGGTACTGCATAGCCTGTGGGGGTGGCTCAGGGGTTTGGGACTTTAGTTAGGGGTAGAATGAGCCTGAAATCCGGGTGGACACCCAGAAGGAGGTGTCTTGTGAGAAGACTGAACAATACACTGGCTGGGTCTCAGAGAGAGCTCTGAGCTGCGGAGATAGACGGAGGCGTTTTGCAGTCCGGGTGGGAGCGAGAGCTGGGAGGTCTGGAATAGGGTGGTGGAATGGTCAAGGCTGAACCCTGAGGGGGGCCCTTCAGGGGGCTGGAGGAGAATGAAGAACAGAAGGAGGCGATGGAGAAAGGGTCTGAGGAGGAAGCTGGGGGAGGGGATCCCACATTTGACAGGGTGGTGTCCAGCGTCAGGTGCCACAGAGCAGAGGCGAGGACAGGGGGGCGAGTACAAAGCCCCCTGTGGCGTCTGGGTAGCCATCCCGAGGGCCACACAGCATCCTGAGGCTGCAGGAGCTGGGGGGTGGGAGCAAGG